GATCAAGAATTAATTTGGAATTAATTTAGTGATCAAAAGAGACTAATTATATCTATGGGGACTAATTATGATAATTAGTTATATTTATATGTGTTGGGCTTATGATCCATGTTGGGCTAAGTTTATGTATGGATACATAAAGAGTTGGGCCACATGAACCATGGATCATAAAACCCATGGGTATAGATTTGGGTTATACTCATGACCCTTGGAATCCTACATATAAATATGTGCTCTAAAGCTAAAAAACGCCTACATGCTTGTTCTTGGAGTTCATGGGTGTTTTTGGGTGCATGAAATTCTCTCTCAAGTTCCACCTTTGTCCATGATGTGTTGTGACTTCATTTGAGGCTTCCACACTATTGGGGCTAAGCTCTTTAAGGCCAAATTCATCAAGTTCTACAAGCTACACAAAGAGGTAAACTTCTAACTAGAATTTTATGCAGTTTATATCATTTGTATGCTAGTTGTAGGATTAAAGCTTTGGAAACCATTTGCATGTATAATTAGTGAAAACATAGATCCAAAGCTTCTAGGGTTGTATGTGCACCATAGGATGTTGTAGTATACAAAACCCAACATATTCTCCACTTGTGAGCTTGATCAGGGAAGCTCAGGCTGAGGGTGTGCGACAGGAGAACTAGAAGCTGGAGAGAATTAGGGGCGAGATCACCAGATTCGTGCAGGATAGTCAGGGATTGTTGACCCGTTTGTGGTTGGGTCTGGGTTCCGATGTCTAGTGGGGTCAGACAGATTGTACTGGAGGAGGCTCATAAGTCTCGCTTCTCTATTCACCCGGGGGCCACCAAGATGTACCGGGATCTGAGTTTGAGTTACTGATGGTCGAGCATGAAGAGAGATATCACTTGGTACGTCGAGAGGTGCTTGACCTGCAGGATGGTCAATGTCGAGCATCAGAGGCCGCATGGCAAGCTGCAGCCTCTAGAGATTCCCATGTGGAAAAGGGAGCAAATCACGATGGACTTCATCACCAAATTGTCGAGAACGACAAATGGTTTCGACTCTATTTGGGTTATCGTGGATCGATTGACCAAAAGTGCTCATTTTCTGCCCATTCGGGAGAGCTCATCGGCCGAGAATCTAGCCGATGTGTATATCCGCGAGATCGTTGCTCGCCATGGGGTTCTGGTCTCTATCGTTTCAAACTGTGATGTTCGGTTCACCTCCCGTTTTTGGCAGAAGTTCCACGAAGAACTGGGCACGCGACTACATTTAAGTACAGCTTATCATCCGCAGATAGACGGCCAAAGTGAGCGGACCATTCAAACCCTCGAGGATATGTTACATGCCTGCGTTATTGACTTCGGTGGGAGTTGGGACTCCTACCTACCCCTTGCAGAGTTCTCCTACAACAACAACTATCACTCCAGCATAGGTGCTCCGCCTTATGAGCTGTTGTATGGACGGAGATGTCGTACCCCAGTCTATTGGGGTGAGGTTGGTCACATGGTGATGGGTCGGACCGAGGTAGTCCTGCAGACTACCAAGATAATACAGCAGATTAGACAGCAATTGCAGACTGCTTAGAGTCGGAAGAAGAGTTACGCCGACCGACACCGATCTAAGTTGGAGTTCCAGGTTGGTCATATGGTACTACTGAAGGTCTCACCCTGGAAGGGTGTGATTCGCTTTAGGAAGAGGGGAAATTGGGTCCCCGACACATTGGGCCATTCAGGGTTGTTGGTAGGGTTGGAAAGGTGGCGTATAGACTGGATCTCCTGGAGGAGCTCATTCAGATTCACAACACTTTTCACGTCTCGCAATTGCGGAAGTGCATACTAGATGAGGAGGCAATGGTGTCATTAGATGATATTCAGGTCGATGAGCGCCTGAATTATGTAGAGAGGCCAGTGACCGTTCTGGAGAGGAAAGTGAAGGTCCTGTGGAACAAGGAGGTACCTTTGGTAAAGGTACAGTGGCAGCATCGGCAGGGATCCGAGTGAACTTGGGAGTCGGAGACAGAGATGCAGGAGCATTATCCGGAGTTGTTCACCGCAGTAGACTTCGAGGATGAAGTCTAGTTCAAGTGGGGGAGAATTGTAACATCCCGACTCCTAGGTATAAAATTTAAAGCTTTATATTCATATTTTTAGACCTACTCGACGAGTTGGCTGCCCCAACTCGTCGTGTAGAAACTGATCAGGCCGCGTGAACTTTAGGACCTACTCGACGAGTTGGAGGACCCAACTCGATGAGTTGAGGCTGTGCTTGAAAACCCTAATTTTTAGGGTTTGCACCCTATTTGAAGGACCTTAAGTCCTCCCCCAGCATCCCTTACCACCTTCACGTCTAGAAACAAACCCTAATCGAGCTAACCTTCTATTTTGAGTGTGTGTGAGGCTAAAGAGTGTGTGTTTGGTGCATTTCTTGAAGAGACTTGAAGATTGAGAAGCTTGGAATGAGAAAGAGATTGTAGATCCAGCATCTACTTCATTTTGGCATTCATTTGAAGGTAAAAAGTCATTACCTTGATCATGTTCTTGTTAGATTTCTCCATTTAAGAGTTTAGGATCATTTCTAGCTTATTCTTGAGGCATTTTTGGTATTGAGCACGTTTTGAAGTGAGGAGTTCAGATCTGGACTACTCTAGGCCCTCATGGACATAAAGTTCTTGACTTTATCGAGCTTTGGCTCCTCTCCATGCCCTTAACCTCTTCGTAAGACTAGTTTTGGGTGTTTTAGCCTCTTGAGACCTTGCATGCACGTAAAGTTGGCAACTTTACGTGGTAACTACACCCTAGGAGGCTAGATCTACAGTTTGGAGCATTGGTTTCGCTTAAAAGCGTCTGAATGAGAAAAGGGTTGAAGGAACTCGATGAGTTGCATAGCCAACTCGACGAGTTGGATAGGGTTTTTCCGAATCTTCTGGACACTGCATGGACTCGACGAGTTGTTTGGTAACTCGGCGAGCTGACTCGGGTTTTCGTGGTTTCTGAGTTTTGAAGGAACTCGATGAGTTGGTAGATGCACTCGACGAGTTGGGTCAACAAGGACTGTTGTCCTTGACTGTTGACTTTGACCAGGGTTGACCAAGTTTAACTTTAAGGGTATTTTGGTAATTTGGGTTTTGATAGAATTGGTCCTATGATGATTGTAGGTGTTTGAGTTTGGAGCTGTGATTCGGGAGCTTGATTCTTTCAGTTCAGTTCGACATTGTGAGGTGAGTTCTTCTCACTGTATCAACAGGGTCTAAGGCACCAAGGCTAGCCCTTTTTGGATTGTATCCTGGTTATATGATGGTGCTATGTTAGTGATCTGTATCCTGGTTATAGGATGATGCTATGTTTAGTGATATGTTAGATCAGTATCGTGGTATATAGGATGATGCTATGATTAGTGATCTGTTAGATCTGTATGATTATCTGTACATGCTAGCTAGCGTATGATATTATGAGTTATTTGTATGATTGGAGGTCGGTTGAGGCGGTCCTGCTTTGTGCTCTAGGACAACATACCCAGGGCGGCCCGAATAGACTGCAAACCCATCAGGGCGTACTAGTCAGACCAAAGGCCCGGAGAACGGTCCAGACATGCTGAAGGCCCGATAGGGCGGACCAGACATGCTGAAGGTTTTGAGAGTGGGGCCATATAGACTGAAGGCCCGGTGAGGGCGGTCCAGTCATACTGTAGACTCTGAGAGTGAACCAGATAGACTGAAGGCCCGACGAGGGCGGTCCAGTCATACTATAGACTCTATATGCATGTTGTTTGCTATGATATTGTTTTGATTGTATGACGTTGGTATTTTGGGGGAACTCACTCAGCTTCGGGCTTATAGTTGTTGATTTTGTTTCAGGTACTTCAGATGATCGCGGGAAGGCGAAGGCTTGATCGTGCACCTCCTCACATTTTATGATTTTGATTTTTGGGATACTCTGATATGAAACTATTTTGAAAACATTTTGTAATAATTAATGGTTTTTGAATGATTGAAAAAGTTTTAAATTGGCTTGAATTTTATGGATGCTACTTATTAACAATATGATAATATATTTATTTTTTTTCTTCAAAAAAATGACTTTCATTAGATGCTATAACCTTAAAGACTTGTTGTAAGTCTCTTGAAAATTCACTCAAGAAAGATGAACAAGTAATATATATATATATATATATATATATATATATATATTAATGGGAATAACTTATATGCTGAGTTAAAATTACTTCTACATCGCTTGCTTAAGGAGAAAATGACAACAATTGATATTCTAAAGTTTTTAAAACATGTTGATTGTTTTTCTGTTACATCTATTGCATATAGAATTATATTGACTATTCCTATTACTGTTGCATCTGCAAAACAAAGTTTTTCCAAATTGAAGATTTTAAAGTCCTACTTACGATATACAATGACACAATAACAACTTAATAGATTAGTTTTGATGATGATTGAGCATAATATTTTGGATAAAAGTTACTTATGAAGATGTTACTGAAAAATTTATTTCAATGAATATTAGGAGGATATATGTTTTCAAGTAGAAACAAATTTCTATTTGTGTATTATTTTGAATGAAATTTTAATTCTATGTATTTTGCAATAGAAATGAAAATTTATAAATTTTTTGCTTAAATTTTTAGATCTTTCAAGTTTTAGGCATATTTTTTTGTTAAACTGCATAGGGTGTTCAAAATCTCGTGTCCGACCCTGTAATATTGTTGAAATTTAGCATAAACTTGTCACAAAGAAAAATCTTTGATTCCCCGTTGGGTATGAGGATGTGAAGGTTATGGCGATGAGGGTGAGGATTCAGTTATGAGGATGAGAAATGCATGTTGCCATCTCTAATTCTTGTTAATCTATCCATAAGGTTGAAGGAAAACAATTAACTTTGAAAAGTTGTAAGATTGCAATTTTCGGGAATATAGGGGAAAAGTTTGTTAGTATATAGGACTTTCGGGTAGTTTTTTGTAAATTTATACCTTTTGACCTGGGGTCTTTATTTCTCTTGTATATATTCATGAAAAAAGGATTTCTAGTGACAATTTGCAAGCGGACTCGAGAAGTCGAAGTAAACAAGATTCGCGGCGGAAGCAGACATAGGGCGACGCCGGAGCGGCTGGAGGCGCTGCAGCTGGTGGCGACGTTGGTGCTCTTCTCTGATCGGTGGCGCCGTGGAGTTAAAGCGAGAAGAATAGGAGGAGAGAGATGATTTGATTCGCTAATTGCGAGCCCTAATTGTATTAAATTCGATGTGTGCTCACTGAACTATTGAGGCTATCAACAATTAGCGGAAATACATAAATAATAATACGAGAGACCTAAAATGGCGGAGATAGGTCAAGAATCGGTGGATTTTTCGACTCTGGTGAGTCGAGCTGCAGAGGAATCATACCTTTCTTTAAAGGAATTGGTGGAGAAATCGAAATCTTCTGAAATGTCGGATTCTGAAAAGAAAATTAGCATACTCAAGTATCTTGTTAAGACTCAGCAGCGTATGCTCCGACTCAATGTTCTTGCGCAATGGTGCCAACAGGTTAGCATTTTTCCAATCATTCTTTCTGCAATAGATTTTTCGTATTATTGTTTCCAAAACATAGGTTTGATTTCCCCTTCTTGTTTTCTGATGACATTCTTTTTATATTTCCAATCCAACTGAATCTGGGAACTAGATGCCTTTTTAACTAGTCATTGTAGAATTCCATTTGGAAATTCGAGAAAGGAGAAAATCAACAAGAATGCAGCACCTCATTGTCCAAATGAGATGATAAACCCTTCTGAAATCTGATATGCAGGTACCACTGATACAATATAGTCAACAACTTGCATCAACCCTGTCAAGTCATGAAACATGCTTCACTCAAGCGGCAGATTCAATGTTTTTCATGCACGAGGGACTGCAACAAGCTCGTGCTCCAATTTATGATGTTCCATCTGCCATTGAAGTTCTCCTTACAGGCACATACCAACGTTTGCCAAAGTGCACAGAAGATGTAGGCATCCAAACCACTTTAACCGAGAAACAACAGAAACCTGTATTAAAGAAATTAGACACCATAGTCAGATCAAAACTACTCGAAACACCACTTCCCAAAGAGTTCACAGAAGTCAAGATCTTTGATGGAACAGTCCATCTTTATGTCCAAGGAGAGTTTAAGGTACTACTAACCCTTGGCTACCGTGGGCACCTTTCAATGTGGAGAATCTTGCATTTAGAAGTACTTGTTGGTGAGAGAACTGGTTTAGTTAAGCTTGAAGAAATGAGACGATTTGTTCTTGGAGATGATTTGGAACGCAGAATGGCAGCTTCTGATACTCCATTTGCAACTTTGTATTCTATTTTACATGAATTTTGTGTAGCTCTTATTATGGATACTGTTATAAGACAAGTTCAAGCACTAAGGGCAGGTAGATGGAAAGATGCAATTCGGTTTGAACTCATATCTGATGGTAGTTCAAGTCAAAGTTCTATACAACTTGGTCAAGATGGAGAGACTGATTCTGGTGGTTTAAGGACTCCAGGGTTAAAGATTCTTTACTGGTTGGAATGTGAGAAGAACAATGGGACATCAGATGCGGGTTCTTGTCCTTTTATTAAGATTGAACCAGGGTTAGACTTGCGAATAAAGTGTCTACATAGTTCATTTGTCATTGACCCTTTGACTAACAAGGAGGCAGAGTTTTCAATTGACCAGAGCTGTATTGATGTTGAGAAATTGCTGCTAAGAGCTATATGCTGTAATAAGTATACTCGTCTGCTTGAAATTTATAAAGAGTTGGGGCAAAATAGTCATATTGGTCGAGCTGCAGGTGATGTTCTTCTTCACACCCCAATTGATCCACCTGGCGATGAGTACGAAAAGGTCAAACACTTTGTCCTCTATTTCTCATTGATATCATTGTGTATTTTTTTTCACCATTTTCATTTTACTTAGTAATTCATGTAACCAAAATGCGATACTTCATTTCATATTATGTTGTGATTCTTGAAGTTGATAAGTTGATTATGCTCATTTAACTGATGCATTATTTTTTTTTCTATGTGCAGGACAACCAATCAGAATCTGAAGGACAGGAAGTACTACGTGTCCGTGCCTATGGTTCATCATTTTTTACACTTGGAATAAATATAAGGTTTCACTCCAATCCGTTATTAATTTAATATATATAATTATATATTTATGTATTTGTGTAAATATATTCTGATAAAATGTTGAATTGAGGTACTGAGGTGCTAAAATATTAACACCACAAGTGTTATGGCTGGCTTTAATGTCTAATGTGTGAAAGCATATTGTTCTTTTGTTTTCAAATTTATAACAGATATCTAGTGTAGTCATATAAAATCATTAGATATTAAATGCATACACAAAACTTTCCTATCTAATAAATATTTTGTCTAAAACATGCATTTTTCCTTGTTGAAATCCTGGCTTATCAATCTATCTGGAAAGTACTAGGAGCACTCGATCAATTTCTGATTCAAAGTTCCAGATAAAAAAGAAGAAAAAATAGGAATTTCATCTGGCATCCCTTTTCTCTTAGCAAGAATCTTGATAGTTATGAACCATTCCATTCCTTTCCCAATAACACCAAACACTATCTTATGTCTTTTAATTTTTTTTTTTAATATGCAGGAGTGGGAGGTTTCTTCTTCATTCATCAAGAAGTACAGTTACATCTTCAGCCTTAAGAGAATGTGAGGAAGCACTAAATCAAGGAAGTATAACTGCAGCTGAAGCTTTTATAAGCTTGAAAAGCAAAAGTTTACTTCATTTATTTGCATGTATTGGGAGGTTTTTAGGACTCCAGGTAAGAACATTTCATAATCTAAAATCCTTAAATTTCCTTAAAAATTTCCAATCCTCTAAACATATTACTTTTTCAGGTGTTTGAACACGGTTTTTCTCCAGTGAAAGTACCAAAACAAATCTTAAACAGTTCCAACATGCTTCTCATGGGATTCCCAGATTGTGGGAGCTCTTATTTTCTCCTAATGCAACTCGAAGACAACTTTACCCCTATTTTCAAGCTCTTAGAAACACAACCAGATCCATCTGCAAAACACGAACCTTCTGGCATCTCAAATCTTGTTACACGTGCTAAAAACATTGATATAAATCAAATGCACATTCTTGAAAGTCAACCCAGTTTGACCCTTTCCCTAACATCTGACCCCACTTCTGATCATACTCTTCTTTCTGATTTGGGCAATGAAACCTCTGCTTCTGCTTCTGGTCTTTTGTCTGTTTTTTCTTCTATTGTTGATGAAGTCTTTGACCAAGAAAGACGGTCAACTGCCCCTGGCTTTCCTGTTCAGACTTTTGGTAATGCCTTTAGTAATAGTTTGTTGTATAATAATATGGGTAGTAGTTATAAAGGTAGGCCCCAATCTGGGCCCACCACTTCTTCTCTCATTTCTCCCCCTGGAAGAAGCACAGTTATAAAGAAACTTTCTGATCAAGATTTGGCTTCTAGATCTCCACATTCTGGTTTTAGAAATTCTATTGCTGGAACTTCAGGTGTTTATTTATTTATTTAAAGTTTTTTCAATTGTATCATACAATTTAATCTAAATATTCCTTTTTTTTCAGCTCCACTATCAGATTCTCCAATCAGATACGATCCCGGATCAAGAAAACGTGCTTTATTAGACATGTTAGACTTACTCCCATCACTCAAACCCTCAGAAACCCTTGAAGAACCCTCAAAAAGAAGGAAAATTACCAAAAACCCCTCGGGGACACTCAGCAACATGGAAAAATACCGATATGTAAACCTTATAGCCGAAGCAAACAAAGGAGACGCCCCATCAAGTATTTACGTTTCCGCCCTTCTTCACGTAGTCCGCCATTGCTCTCTCTGCATCAAACACGCCCGTTTGACCAGTCAAATGGACGCCCTTGACATTCCATATGCAGAAGAAGTGGGCCTACGAAACGCATCTTCAAACATATGGTTTCGACTCCCCTTTGCCCGAGGTGACACATGGGAACATATTTGCTTGCGTTTGGGCAGCCCGGGCAGCATGTATTGGGACGTGAAAATCAACGATCAACACTTCATGGACTTGTACGAGCTTCAAAAGGGCAGCTCGGGCAACTCGGGCAGTTCGGGCACGCCATGGGGTTCGGGTGTTAGGATTGTGAATACTTCCGATATTGATTCCCATATTCGGTATGATTCCGATGGTGTTGTGTTGACTTATAATTCGGTTGAATCCGATAGTATTCGAAAGCTGGTTGCTGATATTGAAAGGTTAGCGAATGCGCGTACGTTTGCTTTGGGAATGAGGAAGCTACTTATTGATTCCGATGAGAAAGACGAAAGCCGAAGTAATTCCGATTCCGGAGTTGGGAAGTATCCGGAACAGATGAGGAGGGCGTTTAAGATTGAAGCGGTTGGGTTAATGAGTTTGTGGTTTAGTTTTGGTTCCGGAGTTCTTGCAAGGTTTGTAGTGGAATGGGAATCGGGAAAAAGCGGATGTACAATGCATGTTTCACCTGATCAGCTTTGGCCTCATACAAAGGTATAAGGACCATTCTTGTAATTTACTCTTATTATTATTTACTATTTTATAATTTATAATGTTTGATTGATTAATTTTTCATTTTCAGTTTTTGGAGGATTTCATCAATGGGACGGAAGTGTCATCTCTTTTGGACTGCATCCGTCTGACAGCGGGACCCTTACATGCCCTAGCAGCTGCAACACGTCCTGCCCGAGCTGCCCCTGTTTCCGGGGTCCCTAACACCGCACCTTCTTCATCTCTCTCAAAACCAAACACATACAACAACACTTCTTCACCTGCCGCCACAAATCTTGGAACCCACACGGCGGCGATGTTAACCGCCGCCACGGCCGCCGCCCGCGGCGGCCCCGGAATCGTCCCGAGCTCTCTCTTACCAATCGACGTCTCGTTTGTTCTCCGTGGCCCGTATTGGATCCGAATAATATACCGGAAATATTTCGCGGTGGACATGCGGTGTTTCGCCGGAGACCAAGTCTGGCTGCAACCCGCCACCCCGCCAAAGGGCGGCCCTACCGCCGGAGGGTCGCTACCTTGTCCCCAATTCCGACCCTTCATCATGGAGCACGTTGCTCAGGAGTTAAACGGTTTAGACCCGAATAATTTCTCGGGTCAAGGATCGACGAATTCCAATTCCGGAAACAGAGCGAGTCCGGCTGGAATCACGCGTTCCGGGGTTCAACCGTTTAGTCGGGGTGCAACCGCGATGCCGACATCTTCGGGTTTAGGGAGCCCGGGATTGGGGTTACGTAGGACACCTGGGGCGGTTGTTCCGGCTCATGTTAGGGGGGAGTTGAATACTGCTATTATCGGACTCGGTGATGATGGTGGTTATGGTGGTGGGTGGGTCCCACTTGTTGCTCTTAAAAAGGTTCTTAGAGGGATTCTCAAGTACCTTGGAGTTTTGTGGCTTTTTGCTCAGTTACCAGAGCTTTTGAAGGAGATTCTCGGATCCATTTTGAAGGATAACGAAGGTGCACTGTTAAATTTGGATCAGGAGCAACCCGCTTTGCGCTTCTTTGTGGGGTAAGAAACTAAGAATTAAGAAATGATTAATTAAACGAGAAAAATACTTATGATGAATAATTTTTTTTTTTTTTTTGTTGCAGTGGGTATGTATTTGCAGTGAGTGTCCACAGAGTCCAACTTCTTCTCCAAGTTTTGAGTGTAAAACGCTTCCATCATTCTCAACAACAAAACCAAAACCAACAACAACCAAACGCAATCACAGCCCAAGAAGAGCTCACCCAATCAGAAATCAGCGAAATCTGTGATTACTTCAGCCGCCGAGTCGCGTCGGAACCCTACGACGCGTCCCGTGTCGCCTCCTTCATCACCCTCCTCACCCTCCCAATCTCTGTCCTCCGCGAATTCCTCAAACTCATCGCGTGGAAAAAATCGCTCGCGTCCCAGTCAGCATCCGACACCCCGCCAGCTCAGCGATCACGAATTGAACTCTGCCTCGAGAACCACACCGGAGTTGAGGTTATGTCGCCGGAAAATGCAACCGGAAATGGAAACTCTCCGGCGACGAAAAGTAATATACATTATGACCGGGGGCATAATGCGGTTGACTTTGGGTTGACCGTGGTGCTTGACCCGGCGCTTATCCCGCATATAAATGCCGCTGGTGGTGCCGCTTGGTTGCCGTACTGTGTGTCGGTGAGGTTGAAGTATTCGTTTGGGGAGAATCCGAATGTTGGGTTTCTTGGGATGGAAGGGAGTCATGGTGGGAGGTCGTGTTGGGTGAGGGTGGAGGATTGGGAGTATTGTAAGCAGAGGGTGGTTAGGACGGTGGAGATGAATGGTGGTGGTGGTGGTGGTGGTGATGGGAGTCAGGGGAGGTTGAGGGTGGTGGCGGATAATGTTCAGAGAGCACTTCATATGTGTCTTCAAGGGTTGCGGGGTGGCGGTGGTGGAGGAGGTGGTGGTGGTGGTGGAGGGAATGTGACATGACCGGAGATGTGATTTGGGTTGTTGGTTTGTTTGGTTGCTTACATGTAGGGTAAAAGTTTTCCCTTTGTATAGTGTGACTGTTTTGTTGTGTTAGTATAAACATTTTGTGTTTTTCCACCATTTTGAACAATAACAAATAGTAGGTTTTTACTGCTTTCAAGTGTCATTCAAAATAGATAGTTATTAGTTAGACTTATAAGAATGCTATGATAGTTGTAACTTTAATTTATATAGAAATATTTGGTAAAAAAAGTTGCATTTTTTAAAAAATATCTACACTAATAAATGAAAATGTTTTTTTTGCCACTTGTCATTTTTTCAAGATTTTTATCATATGTCATTATGTGAGATTTTTTAATTTCTTAAATTCCATGTCATGTGGTATTTTCATTTTTTTGTTAATAAAAAATTAATTAATTCCACTAGTTAACACCTTTATTATTATATATGTAAAGTATTTATTATATTAATTGTGTACATCAACATTATAATTAATAAAACATTTATTATTTAAGATAAATATATTTTTCTCTGTAAAATGAATATAATAATAGATAGTTTGTTTTTTCCACCACTAAAAACATTTATTATGATTTTTTTGTTACATAATTAAAATAATGAAATACTATTATAAAACAATATTGTCAAAATTGAGATATAATAAAATATATTTTGTTAAATTTTAAAATATAGTAGGCTTTAAAATATTTAATGTTTACACCTTGATATAAAACTTTTATTTTTTTTAAATCAGTATAGTACACTGGTCTCAAACCTAGTGTAATATTAAATAATACAAAAATAATAGGGTTTTGTTTGGGTCCACAAACTCTTAAAAGCTTGACGAAGCACACGGTCAAAATTCACGACTGTGACTTTTGACCTCCCAGACAGTGCGTCTTTATTTCCTTCTCGAAAAGTGTATTTTTTAGCATTTTAAAACACGACTCTCTCTATCCTTTTAGATTCGAAAATTGTTTTGTATGGGCCCATTCAAACAGACTTAAAACATTGCAACACAAAGACAATAAAGTAAATAAATCAAAACGGCAAGAAAATACTCCCGGGTTGCCTCTCAGTTAGCCGCCTTTGTTTTAAGTCTTTGGCTCGACTTTTCCTTTTCAAATGTTACTTGATATTGTTCGGGTGTTTCAAGCTATCAACCTACATGTGCTTCTCTTGGAAACATTCATAAAACACCTTCAACCTTTGACCATTAGCTTTGATCACTTTTCCTGTTCTATTACTTTTAACTTCGACTGCACCATGATCATACACATTAGTAACAATGAATGGTCCCACCCATTGGGACTGTATCTTACCGAAAAACCATTTCAGACGAGAGTTAGAGTAATACCTTTTGACATATCTCAAAGTTCTTACATGAAAGGTACTTTTCGTGAAATGCTTTGGTCTTGTTCTTGTAGATGTGTGAGTTCTCGAACACTTCATTTTTGATCTCTTCCAACTCTTGAATCTCTAGCTTTCGGTGAATACCCATTTTATTAAACCCCATGTTCTTCTTGTCATCTATAAACTGCACAATCCCAACAAATCATCATCTATATTGAATTTTTCTACAATCTCCTTGACTCGATTTTTTTTAATCAAAGTTCCTGCTCAAAACTAACTCTAAAAAATCATGGTTAGTCAACTCAAAGCATTTTTCAATCAAAGGCTGAACAATATCCAAACAATTTAAAGAATGAAGATCACTTGGGTACCTCATTGCTTCATAAATATTGAAGATAACGACTTCCCCATCAAATTCCATTGATAAAGTTCCATTGTAGACATCGACTTTTGCTTTTGCTATTTTAAGAAAAAGTCTACCCGAAAGTATGGAACTTGAATTTGGGGAGTCATCATCTCCCATATCTAGAACATAAAAATCTGTCGGGAAAACAAGTTCATTGACTTGCACTAACACATCCTCTAGTACACCTTTTGGGTGTACTATCGACCGGCCAACAAGTTGAATGATTACACCAGTTTTGCTCAATGTTCCTACACCATTTAATTTGTAAACGGAGTATGGTAAGACATTTATAGATGCACCCAAGTCAAACATAGCTTGAGGTATATGAAGATTCCCCAATTTGCAAGGCACGATAAAGACACCGAGATCCTTTCACTTCGGGGGCATCCTTTTTTGCAAAACCGCTGAAATGTTCTCATCGACTTTTACTGTTTCATTACCTTTGAGTTTCTTTTAGCTATGCAACATTATTTTTAAGAACTTATCATATCTACGTACCTATTTGATGACATCAATGAGCAGGATATTGACTTCAACCTTTCGGAACATTTGCATGATTTCGTTATCTTCTCGTTCCTTCTTCGTGTTCACCAATCTTTTGGGAAATGGAGCGACTGAAGTATATTTGACTTTGATGGAGGCGAGATTCTTTTTGTTAGATTTTCTTTATTTTCCTATTCGTTAATCGGCTTCTCCACCACTATCTCTTGTTCCTTTTTTTCTTTATCAACCAATATTGTTGGACCATCATAACTCTTTCTACATCTCAATGTAATATCACACACTTTGTGCCGCATGTTCGTTTTAGTTTGAGCAAGTAGTTTACCTTGAGATTCCAACGTACTAACCGAAGTAGCAAGTTGTGAAATTTATTGCTCTAGGTTCTTGATGTCTGCCTTTATCTCTTTTTGGAAGGTTTGGTTGGTAGTAGCCAAACTCTTCACCATGTCCTCCAAGGATATACTTGATGAACCCGCTTGTTGACGAGGGTGTTGTAGCTGCCTTGACTGAAAGTTTTGTGGTGGAAAAGGCAATGTTTGTTCGTATTCATGTGGTTGACTTGGTTGATAGCCTATATTTTGGTTGTTATTACACCATTGGTTGCCTCGAGGCTGATCGTAGTTCCTTTGATTTGGCCTGGTATAACCTTCCATTGCTTGCATTTCTTCCATGTCTTCTTGTATTTATGGGCACATATCGGTTGGATGTTCTACTTGAGTGCAAATACCGCAAGGATGGGGTGTGGGCTGCACACCTTTTTCGTTTGCAAGCATCATGACCACCTTCGTTATTTCAGATAGTTGGACTTTGATTCCCATGGTAACATGCCCTCACATAAGTACTGAAGGAGGTTGTATTCAGATACCTCGTGTTTTAGGTATCGTGAGCACAACTTTTTAAACCTCTGCCAATAGGTGTCTAAGGCTTCATTCTTGTTCTGCTTGATGCCGATAATTTCACTGCACAAAGTTGAAGCCTTCATTTCTGGGAAATATTTTTCTAGGAACAACCATGCAATATCTACCCATGTAGTAACCGTACTCGGTGAGAGGTCATAAAGCCAATCATTTGCTGCAAATTGCACCATGAAGGGGAATGCCCTAAGCTTGATTTGGTCCTCCGTGACATTATGTGGCTTCATCCCAACAAACACAACATGAAACTCAACGAGGAACTTGTGGGGGTCTATATTTTCAAGACCTCTAAAGTTTGGGAGTAGGTGAAGGAGTCCGAATTTTAGTTCAAGGTTGGTTGCAGCCGGATAGGTGATGTAAAGAGGTTGTTGAGTGACCTCTTGCCTCTTCTATTGGCGAAGGGTTTGTTCGGGTGGATTGTCTCCCATGTTGACTGGTGGGATTAATGTTTCAGTAGGTGTAGGGTCTAAAATGTTATGAGTTAATGAGGAGGGAGGAATGGTATTTATAGACTTGAATGGTTGAGGTGATGATGATGAGGTTAAGGTTTCCGTTTCTGATGTACTTGAGAAGGGTACATCCTCCCAAATGTTGATGACAAGAGGAACAAGTGATGAAGAGGATCCATAATTAGTTTGCTTCTTTAGAAGCTTGGATTGCTTCTTTATCCTTTTGAGTGTTTAGCACAAGGGTACTGTTGAGTATTTGAGATATTGAAACTGAATTGGTATATTTGGTTATTTAGGGAAGCCTTTTTAGAATTAATCATTTTATGATTCCCTACGATGTCTTTACAGTAGAAGTTCTTAATCGAGCTCTTCTAAGGCATTGGTTTTATATTAAGGCATATATTTTATATTTATGGAATATATTTATTGTTCCCTATAAATAATCATTAGGTTAGATTTTGAGGTAAGCTTTTTACCAGATTAGGGTTTTCTCTGTACATTCATTTGATAATCAATATATGAAAAACCTTTATCAGATTACTTGCATATTGTGGTGATTGATTCTGATTGTTCTTGATATTCCGCATTCGTCATATCGGATTTATTCCCAACAAGTGGTATCAGAGCGGGTTCTTGTAGATCTCAACGATTATTGCAAGAATCGATCTTGTTTATGGCGAAATTTTATCTTGAATCTCACATGGTTCTTCAAGTTTTGTAAGTTTTCTGAAAAGAAAAAGTTTAATATCTCGTTTTATTGCAAAATCTTGTTCAGATCTGTTATCTTCTACTCATTATTTCATCTGATTTGTTCTTGAATCGTGTTCTGGAAGAGTGTTAGAATAAAAATTTCGTGTTTATTTGAATTTTCGTGTTCAAATCCATTTTTTCTCTCCAAAATCCATCTCAGATCTGTTTTCTCTCACTAGAAACCTTCTCATATCTGTTTTCTCTCTCTAGAATTCTTATCAGATCTACTTTCTCTCGCTTCAACTTCTGTCATTTGTTGAAGATCTAATTGAAGAAACGAACTTATTATTTGACTCCATTTTAGAACTTGGATTAAAGGCTACTAAACCAATCTATGGTTTTAACAATGTGACCATGTTTCAAATCAGTGGTCAATATATATTGAATGATATTCCTGAGTTGTATAATCTTTTTGTTGATAAGAAAATATCTGAATACTCTAGTGTTAATTACCGTGATTTAAGAGAGAATGAGAGAATAGTAGAACAATTTCGTATTATCTATGAACATTTAGATCGAGAAAATAAACAGATGTTGAAGATGAAAAGAGCTGAAAAAGAAAAAGAAGAAGTTCATGTTGTTCTTCAAGTTTCTGAAGAAAAAGTAACTCCAGATGTTCTTGTTGAG